GGCCCCAGAGGCCTCCAAGACGGCCCAAGAAGCCCCCAAGACGGCTCCAAGAGGGGGCCCAGACGGGGGACCCGAACGGAAATTTCGAGCCCTCGGCCTCCAGGATACCCCGAGACGGTAGAGGGAAACAATTAGTGAACACCCCCCCTGCCCCCAAAACTCAAAGTTGGCACGCGGGGGGGAGACTGCGGTCGAGGTGCAACTCATCAGGCCCACCGCCAACTTTGAACATTGGGGGAAGGGGGAGGCGTTCACAGATGAATGTGGCATGAGTGTTCGCTAATTTTTTCCGAGGCCTGGAGGCCTCCGAAAGGCTCCAAGAAGCCCAAGGAGTCCCCAAGAGGCCCCCAAGCGGCCCGAGACAGGCCCCAAGAGGCCCCAAAACGGTCCCCAAGAGGCCTCAAAAGTGCTTCCAAGAGGCCCCCGAGAAGCCTACCACGAGATCCCAAACGAACACTCAACACCTTTAACCCAGAACCCAGGCACGGTGGCGGGATGGGCCGAAGGCCATTCGATCCGCCGTCCCCTGTTGATTCATCACAGGGGTGCCTGGCGTGCTAGATCCTTTCGGATTTGGTTTTGGGTTCCTTTTCCCTTCTAAAAAAACTCCCCCTGGGGCTCTGGCCCAGCCCGCCGGCCACCCGGAAGGGCCCACACGAGGTGGTCGCAAAGGTTCTTCCTGCTCCCGACGGCTCCAAGATGGCCTAAGATCGTTTCCAAGAGGGCCGAGATGGCCCTCAAGTTCGCAGAAAATGGTCCAAGATGCCCTCCCATACGGCCCAAGAGGGTCCAAGATACCTCCAAGTTCGCCCAAGAAGCCTCCAAGACGGTCCAAGACGGCCCAAGAGGCCCCCAAGAGGGCTCCAAGACGGCCCAAGAGGCCTCCAAGAGGCCCTCCAGGAGAGCCCGAGGAGATCAAAATCAGTGATTTCCCGATTGTTTTTTCAAATCTTTGAGAGAGCGCGCCCGCAAGGCCCGAGCAAAGGGGAGGGGGGGCTAGGCTTAAGCTACCCCCCCCTCCCTTGAGCCGCCCTTGTTGGAAGCACCTCCCCCCCTCCCCCTTTTTTTTGCAAGGGGTGGGGGGGGCTTACAGCTACCCCCCCCTCACCCCTTGGGCCCTCCCCCGAGAGCTACGCCCCGCCTCCCCCCCTTTCCAAAGGGGGGGGGGGTGCTTAAGCCACCCCCCCCTCCCTTGGCGCCGCCCTGCTGGAAGCTACCTCCCCCCCTCCCCCCCTTTCGTGCAAAGGGGGAGGGGGGCTTGGAAGCTACCCACCCCCCACCCCCCTTTGGCCGCCCCGGAAGCTACCCCCCCCTACCCCCGGGGGGGTGCTTAAGCTACCGCCCCCCTCCCTTGGAGCCGCCCTGCTGGAAGCTCCCACCCCCCTCCCCCCCTTTGTGCCAAAGGGGGGGGGGGCTTGGAAGCTTGCCCCCCCCCCTTGCCCCCTTTGGCCGCCCAGCCCCCGGAGCCTCCGCCCTCCCTTTCGCCGACGATCCAAAATGAACAATCCACGATCGAGGATGGACGATCGACGATCAACGATCGACGATCGAAAATCCCAATCGAATCGCTTGCAATCGATTGCACTCCATTCCACTGCAATCCCCCTCCCCACCTCCCTCCGCTCCCTCCCCTCCCTCCCCACCCTTCGTTCCATCTCCTCCCTCCCCTCCCTCTCCTCCCCTCCCTCCCTTCCGTCCTGTCCCTTCCCTGCAATCCAATCGATTGAATCGATTGCAATTCAACCGATTGCAATCCAATCGATTGCAATCCAATGGATTGCAATCGAATCGTTTGCAATCCAATGGATTGCAATCGATTGCAACGCAAGTGTATCATTCAACTCGTCCCGTGCCAACGCCCGGAAACGAAAAGTTACCCTGGCGACGTACCCAACCCCTGCGCAAACGCGGGGCGCAAATAGTTTAGGACACTTTATAAGGGGGGCGATGACGGAGCGAGGGTTACATATGTCTGCAGACGGGATTCGGGAGACTCGCAGGAAACTGGCTTCAGGACAAGGACTAGATAAAGCTGATTAGTTGCAATCCCTGAGCAACCCTAGCCACTTCGAAAGCGGGGATCTCAGATCGCAGCCCCCCAGGGATGGCGAGGTCTAATTTGGGTCCGCGCGTGGCGTCACTCTGCTGGGCCCCCCAGCAGGCCTCGAAAGTGGCGACAGTTTCACAGATCGCAGCCCCCCCAGGGATGGCGAGGTCTAATTTGAATCCGCCCGTGGCGTCACTGTGCTGGGCCCCCCAGCATGCCTCGAAAGTGGCGACAGTTTCACAGATCGCAGCCCCCCAGGGATGGCGAGGTCTAATTTTGGTCCGCCCGTGGCGTCACTGTGCTGGGCCCCCCAGCAGGCCTCGAAAGTGGCGACAGTTTCACAGATCGCAGCCCCCCAGGGATGGCGAGGTCCTATTTGAGTCCGCGGTGAGTACCCACTGTGCTGTGCCCCTCAGCAGCCCTCGAAAGTGGCGACAGTTTCACAGATCGCAGCCCCCCAGGGATTCGAAGGGGTGCAGGTCCCTAATTTGGGTCCGCCCGTGCGTCACTGTCTGGGCCCCCCCAGCAGGCCTCGAAAATGGCGACCAGTTTCGCAGGAATCGCAGGCCCCACCCGCAGGGATGGTGATTCCTAATTTGTGGTCCGCCCGTGGCGTCATCTTGCAGGGCGCCCCCCAGCAGGCCTCGAGAGTGGCGACAGTTTCACAATCGCAGCCCCCCCCAGGATGGCGAGGTCTAATTTGTCCGCCCGTGGGTCACTGTCTGGGCCCCCCAGCAGTCCTCGAAAGTGGCGACAGTTTCACAGATCGCAGCCCCCCAGGGATGGCGAGGTCTAATTTGAATCCGCCGCGATTACCCTCTATGCAGGACCCCCCAGCAGGCCTCGAAAGTGGCGACAGTTTCACAGATCGCAGCCCCCCAGGGAAGGCGAGGTCTAATTTGGGTCCGCCCGTGGCGTCACTGTGCTGGGCCCCCCAGCAGTCCTCGAAAGTGGCGACAGTTTCACAGATCGCAGCCCCCCCAAGGATGGCGAGGTCTAATTTGGGTCCGCCCGTGGCGTCACTGTGCTGGGCCCCCCCAGCAGGCCTCGAAAGTGGCGACAGTTTCACAAATCGCAGCCCCCCGCAAGCAAGACAGGAGGAGGCAAGAGGGAGACGGGACAGGAAGGAGGAAGTGGAGACCACACTGCTCTAGTCAAAACGAATACCCAACCAAGGAGGGTTGGGAAAAATACTATCCCCCCCGAAAGTTGCACGACGTGTAATTCGGAAAACGCCAGCCCGTCGGGTTTGGCAGTGTTCGTGTAAGACGGCGGCCAGCTGGGGGAGGAGGAGGCGGAGGATGGGGGAGGCGGAGGGGGAGGAGGAGGAGGGGGAGAAGGAGGAGGAGGAGGAGGAGGCGGAGGAGGAGGAGGAGGAGGGAGGAGGAGGAGGGGAGGAGGAGGAGAGGAAGGAGAGGGAGAGGAGGAGGAGGAGGAAGGAGGAGGAGGAGGAGGAGGAGGAGGAGGAGGCAGGATGAGGAGGAGGAGGAGGAGGAGGGGAACCGGGGAGGAGGATCACGAGGAGGAGGAGGGGAGGAGGAGGAGGAGGAGGAGGAAGAGGAAGAGGAAGAGGATGAGGATGAGGATGAGGATGATGATGATGACGAGGAGGTGATGATGATGGTGGTGATGATGATGATGGTGATGGTGCTGATGACTATGAGGAGGATGAGGAGGACGAGGAAGAGGAGGAGGCAACACGAAGAAGAGGAGGGAGAGGGGCGGGAATACATGGAAACGAAAGGGATGCGATGGCTCGGGGAGCTGGGCGGCCAAAGGGGGGAGGGGAGGGGGGGGCTTCAAGCCCCCCCCTCCCTTTTGCACCAAGGGGGCTTCCAAAGCCCCCCCCCCTTTCAAAGAGGGGGGGGGGGGCTCACCCCAGCTCATTAAAAGGAGGAGGGGGGGGTAGCTTGGAAGCCACCCCCCCCTTTCCGGCCACGAAAAGGGAAGGGGGGGGTAGCTTCCGAAGCCCCCCCCCCCCTTTCAAAAGGGGGGGGTGGCTCACCCCGGCTCAATTAAAGGGAGGGAGAGGGGGGATAGCTTGGAAGCCCCCCCCCCTTCCGGAACACGAAACGGGGGGGAGGGTGGGGGGCTTCCGAAGCCCCCCCCCCCTTTAGCAAGGAAGGGGGGAGGGGGGTAGCTTCAAGCTGGGGCCCCCCTTTTAGTCTATCGGGCCCCACGCGCGCGCTCTATCGATAGTCTATGCCCTTGTTCCTCCTTCGACTCCCCCGACCCCATCCGAATGTCCAAACGCACCGGCTTTCAGAGCTGCGTCCAGCCGTGGTGACGAGACGAGCGGGCACCCCGAAGGGCAACTACCGTTCTCGCCCCACCCTCCCTCGGAGCCGGCATCTCTTCTTGTTTCTGCGAAAACAGAAAGGGCGAGGGAGGGGGGGGGGGCGGTGCACCTTGTCCACCGAAAAAGCCGCTATAGATCCCGACGGCTTCCCGTGAGGGTAGTTTTTCGTTCTGAATCCAACGTTGATGGCCCCTGGGCCCAACAACGGCCCCAGGAACTGTGTGCCGCTGTTGCAACTGTCGTATTTTCGCAATGGGAAGGGGGAAGGGGCAAAGGGATCATGCTGGATCATGTTGCGATGCCACCCACGTGATTTCAAATCACTCTCGCGCAACAACACCTGGGGTCGCATGGGAAACACGAGCCTCCGCAACCCCAGGGCGACAGCCGCAGGAGAAACACGAGCCTCCGCAGCAGCGCGAATATTTTCAGGAGCCCATGGGGCCGCAAGAGGAACGCGAGACTCCGCGCCCCCATGGCGACAGCCGCAGGAGGCAGGCGATCCTGCGCAACTGCACCGACCGACGTGCCGCAAGAGGGACGCGAGCCTCCGCGGCACTCAAAACTCGGGCGGCTCTCCGGGGGGGGGGGGGGCGAGCTTCCACAAGACCTCCTGCCGCTCGCCCCCCCCCCCCAGAGCCTGGAGCGTCTCGTTCAGCTCCTTAGCGGCGTTGCGAACTCGGCCTCCGCACGGGCCAGGGCGTCCATGGCCAGCTCCACACTCAGAGCCGCCTGGTTCAAGGAAGGCGTCGTACACGGCCATGACGTAACGCCATGGCCGTGTACTACACGGCCATGGCGTCCCCAGGGTCAGGCTCCGCGCCAGCCGCATGGCCGCCAGTCACCTCGGCCCTCGGCATCAGCTGCGCCGCCTTCGGTGGCTCCTGCTCCTTGTCCGCGCCCTTGCCCTCAAGCTCCGCGGCGAAAGTGGGCACCATCACTGCCTTCTGCAGCACCCTCTCCTTCACGGCCACCACCTTGAGGGAGTGGGCGTCCGTTTCCGCTAGGCTCTCCTGCTCCGTGAGCCCGGCGCCCGTGTTGCCAGCATCGGAGCTGGCGAGGAGGGAGCGCACCTCCCTCGCCAATCCGACATCAGGATGCCCTTTGGCATTGCGAAGCTTGCTCAGCCTCCCGATGCGGGGGGCAAGCTTCGGCACTCCACGCTCGCGCAAGATGCACTAGGCATCCTGGACCGAAACGGGGCCCGTGAGGTCCATCGCGTCCTTGACCGCATCGGGGACCACCTCGAACTGCACCAACGCCGTCCGCACATGCTGCCGATGCGCCTGCCGCCAAGCCCTGGGCGGCCCCGCGCGCTGCAGCCTCCACCAGTGCGGCGGTGGCCTCGGTGCCACTCTGGCCACCCTGCCCGGCGAATGGTGCCAAGGCCGCGCCAAATGCCGCCTGGGCGATCGTAAGCGCCGCCATCCTCTCCAAGAGGCCATCCGTCCCAATGGCACGAGGGGAAAGGGCTGCGCGAGCGGGCCGCCGCGACCAGCTCGGCGCACACCGAGCCTGAACCAAAAATGGCTGCGGAGGAGGGGGCAGAGCGAGGGAGGGAGGCCTCTCCCTCTGCGGAGGCCTCTCTTCTTGCTTCTTCGAAAACAGAGGGGGCGAGGGAGGGGAGGGAGGGGCGCACCTCGTCCACCGAAGAGTCCCCATAGATCCCGACGGCTTCCCTGGGAGCAAGTCTTCATCATGAATCCGATGCTGATGGTCCCGGGGCCCAACGACGGACCCCGGGGACAGAAATCCGGGAACAATGCGCCGCTGCTGTGCCACTGTCACTTCTTCGCAAGGGGAGTGGCCGAGGGAGGGCGGGAGAGGAGGGGAGGGAGGGGCGCACCTCGTCCACCGAGGCAACGCCGGACCCCTCCGCGGTGCCTACCACCTCGGCCGTGGCGGTGTGCTCGGCCGTCGCCGTGTGCTCGCCGACGGTGTGCGAAGCGGAGGCGGTGTGCGAGGCGCTCTCGGTGACCGTGACCTTCACCGTCGCCTGCGCCTCGCCCGAGAGGCCGGCGCCCGAGATGCACTCCTGGAGGAGCAGCACGCTGCTGCGCTCCGAACGAGCCCCACCGAAACCTTCGTCGTTTGCCCCCAGCAGTGCGCGTGGCTGATCGAACGACGCTTGCAACAGCACGGCAGAGGAACCGAAGTTGCGCAAACCATGGTGGAGAGAACAGGGTTGCCGAATCTTATCTCCGGTGATCTGTGATGTGCCAGCATGTCACTATAATTTATCAGGTTGTTTTGAAGACGCGAACACGATCTAGAGATCTTATGGTATGGTGTGTGTAGGTCTACTCTCTGCTGGTATACCATTGGATATTCTAGCTGTGGTATGGTAATTCGGCCATTGTCAACTCGCTGCGTAGGTTATCTGCATGGGCGTTGCCTTCCCTTGTACTATAATGCACTACGTACGTTACAACCTATACTGATATGCCCCCCGTTTAGGCTGTATTGTCATATGCGCCACTGCAGTGTGTTGCATGGTATAATCTGGCATCTCACTTCGCATACCCGAGCATTACGATAATCTGTAACATGGCAAGTCATGGTATCTGTGCGGCTGGTCGATTCTGCTGTGCTAAAGTGTGGAACAACTGCTTATGGTCAATGATGGTTTACACACCATTCTGAGCTAACGTTGAATACTATCAAATGCCGTGGTATGGCCTATTCTGTCCCACTATGTTATGACACATTCTGTCCTATTCACTTCTATGTGTAGTCTGATCTGGTACGTACAATATTCTATACGGTGCCATACAACTATATTGATATGTGAGCTGTCATGGTATAAATTGCCATCTTCTGTTCAATTGCATTATCGTTTGATCGGGTATCCGCCACCGTGCCTCTGGGCACGGAGTGGGCGTGTCCTCAGTGTCGCATGTGTGTTTTTCTGTTTCGGGCGCCCGAGAATGTCTCAGGACGGACAGAAAAGGCCTCAGGAGGCCCCCAAAACGGTCCAAGAGTCGCCGAACGATCGTTCGCCCAGGGTGGCCCCCAGACGGCCTCAGAGGCCTCAAAGACGCCTCCCAAGAGGGCCCCAAGAGGCCAAACTCATTGATGTTCCAAAGGTTTTTGAAAGATTTTGGCGTTCTCGACTTCTCGGCGTCCCGACGCTCCCAGACGGCCCTAGACGCCCCCAAGACCGCCCCAAGACGGCTCAAGAGGCTTCCAAGAGAGCCGCAAAACGGCCCAAGAGGGCCCCAAGACGGCCCAAGTGGCACCCAAAACGGCCCCCAGAGAGCCCAAAAAGAGCCGCCAAAGGGGCCCCAGAGGGTGAACACGAACCGAAAATCCAAGCCCTCTGCCACAAAACGCCCCCAGTAGGCCCCAAGAGGCTCCCAGTTGGCCCCAAGAGGCACCAAAGAGGCCCCCAAAAAGCGTCCGAACTGCCTCCAAGCGCTGACGCCGGCGCCGGCAGCGGCCAGCAGCGCCGACGGGCGACCATTACCAGAGAGGGCCCAGAGGCCGCTGCAGAGGGAAGACACAAATAGCCACATCGAGCCCTTGCCCCCCAGAAGCAACCGAACGGCCCTTGGGAAGGTCCACGAGGCTTCACACATGCTCCTCAGACGCCCTCCAGACCCTTCTGACGAAACCTCAAGAGGCATCCATTGGAACTCTGACCCAAAGCCAAAACACGGTGGCGGCAAGAGCCGAAGGCCGCACCACCACCACCACCACAAACCACAACACCACCATCACCACCACAACCACCAGCACCACCACCACCACCGCCACAACCCACCACCACCACAACCACCAGCATCAGCACCAACCCACCACCACCACAACCACCACCATCACCACAAACCACTACACAACCACCACCAAAAAAACCACCACCACCAACACCACTACAACCCACCACAACCCACCACCACCACCACCACCAACCGGAAACCACAACCACTACAACCCACTACAACCCACTACAACCCCACCACAACCACCACCATTACCAGCACCATCATCACCAACGCCACCACCACAACCATCACCACAACCCACCACCACCACCACCAACCACCACACCACCACCACCACCACAACCACCACCACTACCACCACCACCACCGCCACCCACCACCCACCACCCACCACCAGCACCGCCACCAGAAGCACCAAACCACGCCACCACAACCACCTCCACCACCAATACAAACACCACCACCACCTCAACCCACCACAACCAACACCAAACAACCACACAACCACCACCACCACAGGCACCACCACCGCTACAACAACACACCCACACCACCACCACCACCATTACAACAACCCACCACCACCACCACAATCTACCACACCACCACGCCACCACCGCCACAACCACCACCACCACCACACCCCACCACATCACCACAACCCACCACACCACCACCACACCACCACCACCAGCACCACCGCCGCCACAACCCACCACCACCAGCACCACCTCCACAAACCACCAGCACCACCAACACCACCACCAACACCACCACAAACCACCACACCACAACCACCATCACCACCGTCACCAACCACCACCACCACAACCCACCATCACACCACCACCAAACCACAAACCACCAACACCACCATCACCACCACCAACTACCACCACAACCACGACCACCACGACAAACCAACACACCACCACCACCACCTCAAACCACAACCACCGCCACCACCACCACCACAAACCACCACCAACACTACAACCATCACGCAACCACCACAAACCATCACAAACCACCACACCAACTCACCTCCACGACCCCCACCACCACAATCAGTACCACCCACCACCACAACCCCCACCACAACAAACCACCACCACAACCACAACCACCACCACCGCCACCACCACCACCACAACCCACCACCACCACCGCAACCACTACCATCACCACAACCACAACGACTGACCACCACACCACCACACCACCACCACACGCCACAATTCCCATCACCCCTACCACACGAAACCATCGCACCATCACCACCACCGCCACCTCCACGACCACCACCACTGCAACGTGCCATCACAACCACCACCACAACCACCACCACAACCACCATCGCCAGCACCACCAACCACCACGCCACCACCACTACCGCCACCACCACCATCACCACCCACCACCACCACCACCACCACCACCACCACCACAACCACTACCATCACCGCAACCACCATGACAGACCACCACTCCACCACCGCCACCACCACCACCACCGCCACCACCGCCACCCACAACCGCCACAATTACAATCACCATCACCAGAAACCACCGCACCACCACCACCACCGCCACCACCACGACCACCACCACCATAACGTGCCACCGCAACCACCACCGCCACCACCAACCACCACGCCACCACCACCGCCGCCACCGCCACCACCGCTACAACCACCACCACCATCACCACAGCCCACCACTACCACCCCACCCCAGAGAGGCCACAAGAGACGCCCAAGAGGCGCTCACGAGGCCCCACAAATGCCCTCCGACGAGACCCCGAGAGACATCCATTAGGACTCTGACCTAAAACCAAGGCACGGTGGCGGAACGTCGTCGTCGTCGTCATCGTCGTCGCCGTCGTCGGCGCCGGCTCAGAAAATGAAGTCGTCGCCCCCGCCGCCGCCGCCAGCCGCCGCCGACGCAGGCGCCGGCCCGAGGTAAGGGAGAAAGGAAAAGTAGGGGAGGGGGGGGGTTGAACTCCCCCCCTCCATCACGGGAAGGGGGGGAGGGGGTTCCAACCCCCACCCCCGGCGCCAGCGCCGGCGCTGGCGTTGGCGGCGGCCAGCAGCGCCGACGGCGGGGACGCAGCGACGATTGCCAGAGATGGCACAGAGGCCGCAGAGGGAACACGCAAATTGCCATATCGAGCCCTCACCCGCCAGAAGCCACCGAGGCCTTTAGGAAGGTCCACGAGGCTTCACACATGCTCCTCAGACGCCCCCGAGACCCTTCTGACGAAACCTCAAAAGGCATCCATTGGAACACTGACCCAAAGCCCAAAAACGATGGCGGAAAGAGCCGAAGGCCGCACCACCACCACCACCACCACCACAAACCACAAGACCACCACCACCACAACCACCAGCACCACCACCACCACAACCGCCACAACCCACCACCACCACAACCATCACCACAAACCGCTACACAACCACCACCAAAAACGCCACCACCACCAGCGCCACCACAACCCACAACAACCTACCACAACCACCACCCCCACCAAAAACCACCACACCATTACCAGTACCATCACCACCACCGTCACCACCACAACCATCACCACAACCCACCACCACAACAAACAACCACCACCACCACTACCACCACAACCACCACCACTACCACCACCACCACCACCCACCACACACCACCCACCATCAGCACCGCTACCAGCAGCACCACCACCAACACACCACCACCACCACCGCCACCACCAATACCACCACCACCAACCACCACCACCACCACCACCACCACCACATACCACAACACGACCACCACCACAACCACCAGCACCACCAGCACCACCAGCACCACAAACCAACCCCACCACAACCACCACCATCACCACAAAACATTACACAACCACCACCTAATAAAACGCCACCACCACCATGACCACCACAACCCGCCACAACCCACCACAACAACCACAAACCACCACCACCACAACCACCACCACACCATTACCAGCACCATCACCACCACCGCCACCACCACAACCATCACCACAATCCACCAACACCACCACCGCCACAAACCACCACACCATCAACTACCGAAACCAACACCGCTACCACCACCACCACCCACCACCCACCACCTACCACCAGCACCGCTACCAGCAGCACCACCTCCATCACAAATCACCACACCACCACAAATACCACCACCACCACCACCTCAACCCACCACCCTCACCAAGCCACCGCACAACCACTACCACCACAGCCACCACCACCACAACAACTCACCACCACCACCACCACCACATTCACCCACCACCACGACCACCACCACCACCACAATCTACCACACCAACACGCCACCACCGCCACCACGACCACCACCACAACAACCCACCGCCAACACCACCACAAACCACCACACCACCACAACCACCACCACCACCAACACCAACACCACACGCACTAACCTCGGCAAACAACCGCCACCACCACCACCGCCACCAACACCACCACAAACCACCACACCACAACCACCACCACCACCGGCACCACCACCACCACCACCACAACAACCCAACACTCACCGCCACAAACCACCACCACACCACCACCACCACCACCCACCAGCACAACCACTACCACCACAACGAACCACCGCCACCACCACCACAAACCACCACAAACCACCACACCACCACCACGACCACCATCACAACCAGCAGCACCACCAAGCACCACAACCACCACCACCACAACAAACCACCACCACAACCACCACAACCACCACCACTGCCACCACCACCACCACAACCCACCACCACCACCAACACAAGAACTACCACCACCACATCCGCCACGACAGACCACCACACCATTACCGCCACCACCACCACCACCTTACCCCACTACCACCACCACCACCACCACAACTACCATCACCACCACCACCACTAGAAACCACCGCAACACCACTACCACAGCCACCACCACCACCACCACAACGTGCCACTACAACCACCACAACAACCACCACCACAAACCACAACGCCACCACCACCACCACCGCCACCACCACCGCCGCCACAACCACCACCACCATCACCATCACCACAGCCCAACACCACCACCACTTCAAAGAGACCCCCAGAGACGCCCAAGAGGCGCCCAGGAGGCCCCACAAATGCCCTCCGACGAAACCCCGAGAGGCATCCATTAGGACTCTGACCCAAAACCAAGGCACGGTGGCGGAGCGGTCCTCGTCGACGCTCCCCGCCGCCGCCGCCCGCCGCCGCAGGCGCCGGCGCCAGCCCAAAAAAGGAAGTCGTCGCCCCCGCCGCCGCAGCCAGCCGCCGCCGACGCAGGCGCCGGCCCAGAAAAGGAAGTCGTCGCCCCCGCCGCCGCCGCCAATCGCCGCCGTCGCAGGCGCCGGCCCGAGGAAAGGGAGAGAGGAAAAATAGGAGATGGGGGGGGTCCAGTTCCAAACCGCCCCCCCCCTCCAAGCGACCACAGAACGCGCTCTTTCAAATCTAGACTCCGTGGCCACCAGGATGCCCAAGATACCATCTAAGCTGGTTTGAGCTGGGATTTAACACGCCAGAGAATCCTCGAAGACGCCCCAAGATGGCCTCAAGACTGTCCAAGACGCCTCCAAGACGCCTTCAGATGGCTCCAAGACGACCCTCGAGAGATCCCCAGGAAGCAAGAGTCGTCAAAATCCAATAAGACAACGTATATTTGAGCATCTTCGTCTTGATAGTCTTAACAGTATTCAAAAATGCTCAAGAGGCTCCCAAGATCGCTTCAAGACGGTCCAGGAAGCCCCCAAGAGGGCCTCAAGACGGCCGAAGAGGGACCGAAAACGGCCCAACGGGCGCCCAAGATGGCCCCAGAGCGCCCCACCAAGGCGCTCAGAGGGGCCCAAGAGATGCACCTCTAACTGACATTCCGAGCCCTCCGCCCAAAAAGGACCCCCGAGACCGCCAGCAGGCGACCGTGAAACTCCCAATACGCCCGCAGAGGCTCCGAAAAGAGGCCCAAACGAGGCCCGCAGAAGGTTCCCAGGAGGTCCCAGGCGGCCTCACCCGTGGACTTCATCCCTCTACTTGGGGTCGGCGGAATGGCGCAAACCTCTTGAAACATGGATCCCATCAGGATCTACTCTCGGCTTTTCGATCCGTACATCATATTCTGGCGTTATCTGATATCTGATGCTAGAAAGTATTATGATCCGCTGCGATATGTTATGTTATGTTCCGAAGCGGTAGTCCTGGTTTGTAAGGATAGCTGCGTGAAGTCGAAACGAGAGGCGAGCGCGCGGTTCCGCCGAATGCAGGGCCCTTTTGGGCCTGCGTGGGGGTCATGTTCCCTTCCATCGCATTTGGTATTTTAGCTTGTGATGATGCTGGCAGATCAAGCATCATACAGACACGATGTGTGTGCGTGGTTTGCCTGATAATATGACTCCTGCTATGTGATGATATGTCCCGCTAGATCTGTTATGTTATATTATGATCTATCAACACGTAGTACGGCACAGTCATCTCTTAGATTCGATGCTTTTACAATGCAGTGCAATGTCAGGTGGTATGGTGTGGTGGATTTTCCTGGGAGACGCGGTGTGCAGGGCGGGCGGGTCGGGAGCCCTGTTCTTAAGACCTGACAGCTCCAACCTGTCGGGTGGGAGAAACACACCGAGCACAAATTTCAGGGGCTCCACGCGGACTTCTCGGATCGGCGGTTGGCCTCCCCTGGCAGCGCCTCCGACGCCGCCCCTGGCGCGCTCCGCGCGCCAGGGACGGGGGGCGTCCAGCGCCGGCCCGAGAAAACCGCGGAACTCTGAGCATTTCATTATGACTATGCCATCTGATCTTCCCCGAGTTCCTCCTGGTGCCGCTTCGCGCCCACCTTGCAGTGGTCCTCGGCGGTGCACTTCTGGCACGACGCCGGGTGCGAGTTCGCGGTGCCAAGGAACTTGCCGTAGGAGTGGTACAGGTCCTCGGTCGGCGGGTGCACCTTCTTGCAGGCCAGGCCGTCCTGGCAGACGCGATGGTGGTGCTCTGCAGGGAAGAAGCCGCACTCGTAGCCCCAGCCTCCCTGCTGGACGCACTGCTCGATCCGCCAGTGCCAGAAGAAGCCCTCGGGGCACATGCAGCCGTCCTTCATCGTCTTGGAGATAGACTGCCTCTCTACTACCTCGGAACGGCCGCAATCAAGACGGCCGCCAACGGAACCCCGAGACGCCCTCAGAGAGCCCCCCGGAGCAACCCAAGAATGGTGGCAGGACAGGAATGATGGCAAGATGGGCCGCCAGCCATCTCGACCAAATTCACTGAACCCCAACATCGATTTTGCTGAGTGGTTCTTGACCCTCCTTCGCCTCCTCCCGAGGTTGCCCATGGACACCCTGACGGCCCCTCGCCGCGAAAGCGATGACGCGATCAAACAAAAATCCAGTCTTGCGGACAAGCCCAAACCTGCCTGTTTGCTTCTGAGACTCTGGAGAAGGAGGAACAACAGCAGCATGAGAAGGACGACGACGACGATGACGACGACGACGACGGACGACGACGACGGACGACGGCGAGGACACTGATCGGCAGCGCGCCCAGGTGAAGACCGACGGGGTCGGCCTTCTCAGACGGCGGCGGGGCTTCTCAGAGCCCTCTGCCTTCTGAGAAACCGTCCGTGTCTTCGGCGAAGGCCTAGAACGCTTCTCAGAAGGACAGGCGCCCTCTGAGCGTTCTGGGAAAGCCCGCCCCCTTGCCTGCCCCCCTGGGCGCGGGCCGCCGAGCTGAAGGAGAGCGGCAGAACGAGCAAGGGGACAGGGGAACCCCCTGGCATGGCAGAAGGAGCACAGACCTCGACGTTCACGCCCGTGCCCCGGGAGGCTGTCGTGGCGTTGCCGACGTGGGCCAGGCCGCCGCTGCTCTTGGTGGCCACCAGGCCGGAGTTGAGGCGAGTCCCCTCCGACCTGGGAAGCCAGCCATCCCTCTTCTCCTGCTGCTCCGCCTCCTGCTCCTCTTCATCCTTCTCCGTCCTCCTGCTCCGTCCGCCGCCCCTCTCCCTCCCCCAACCGCCTCCTCCGCCACCCCCCGCCGTTCCCCCCCTCCCCAGGCGGGGGAGGGGGGGAGGCACGGCCAGCTCCCTTCCAGACTCCAGGGAGTGGCGGCACCCCCCCCCCCTTCGGCGGCAACTCATGTCGGCTCTTGCGAGTCGACGCGGCCCGACGCTACATCGGCGCTGCCTCCTCGACTCCCAGACGCTAGTCGACGCTAGTCGACGCTAAAGACGGAACTCAGAGGGTAGACCAGGCTCAAGGCTGAACCTAGACGGCGGTTTTCGTTTTCGGTTTGCTTTCGTTGTCCCTCGTTTTGTTTTCAATCCACTTCTACCGCAAAACGAAATCGAAACGGAAACGGCCCACGAAATCGCCAAAACACCGTTTAGGTCCAGCCTTGTCCCATGATTTGCTGCCAAACCTCCCCATAGTTCCAGGCCAAAAGAGGGCACAGGCCGCTGTCACCAAGGAAGGACCTGGCCAGCAGCCACGCCAGCAGCGCCCCCAGGAAGACGCGGCGCGGCATCGCCTCGCAACTTCCTGGACTCCCTGCAGTGGGCCCGAGTCAGCCAGGGCCGCCAGAAGCCGCAATGATGGTCGAGATTCGGCCTCCTCATCCTCTTCACTCATTCTTATCCTCCGCCTCCTCCTTCTCATCGCCTTCCTCTTTCCTGTCCCTATCCATATCCTCCCCATAGCTCCCTCTCCTGAGCTGGACAGGTGTCATCCTATCGCTCCGCTCTCTTGCTCCCCACCCCCTTCACGCTCCTCTTCGTTCTACCAGAAACACCTGTACGTACCCAACCCATTGCCAACGCACTCAACCCATGAATGACCATTGGCAACCTCCACGGGGCAACGTGCACAAGGAATGCGAACTCATGTACAATGTACGTGGTGGCCATGTGCAGTCGTATGACCCATGAAACTGATACGAGGCGAAAGCAGCAGCGCCCAGCAGCAGAGTGGCGACAGCTGCGCGCTCGGCAACACCCCAGGGAAGGCGAGGTCTGGTTGTACACATCTGTTGTGGTAACTCATGGGAGCCTCCCATACCATATTGCTGGCTCTTGCGAAACGACGCTGGCCGACGCTGGTCGATGCTGAAATTATGAAAATCGAACGGCAGGTCGGCGCTATCTTCTCGACTACGAGACGCTAGCGCAAGCTAGCGCAGTCGGAAGGCGGCATTGCGAGGACATACGAGACTTTAATGGCTTGCCACCGATCACAACTGCGCTGGACCCCCAAAGGGGCGCAGCAAGGTGGCGACAGCTGCGTGCCTGGCAACGCCAAGAGCAGGCGAGGTCTAGCGCGAGAAGTCACTCCGCTGGCTTCGCCCCTTGGCCTTGGGCGAGACGGCGCTCCGAAGAGTTCACGGCGATCGGGGGGGCCTTCCGAGAGGGCCAGAGGCTTCCAGGAATGCTTTCAGAGGCCGCGATGGGAACGGCCCCCCCGCGTCCGGTGTTTCCAGGAGTGGCTCTTCGAAGTCGTGAGGGCCTCTTGCAGGCGGGGCGCCTTCATAGGAGAAGAAAAACCTACATCAACATACACACGTTCGAAAGTCCGCCTAAATATCTTGGATCTGCGCTGACCCCCCTGCTTGCGCGCGGAGCGCTCCAAGGGCGGCGCCGGAGGCGACAGTCGCGCGAACAGCAGCGCGCAGGGAAGGCATGGTCTCGATGGACCCGCGTGGGACACAATTGCGGTGGACCCACAAGGGACCAGACAGGTCAGGACAGCCCTGATGGGAACAGGCCAAACGTTACTGGCGGGGGTGGGGCCCACCAGGGAGTGCGGAGTCCGCGGGGGCCCACGCCGGGAGCCCGCTCATCCTCATCCTCATCCTCATCCTCATCCTCATCCTCATCCTCATCCTCATCCTCATCCTCATCCTCATCATCATCATCATCATCATCATCATCATCCACCTCCTCCTCTTCCTGCGATCCTCGCGGTCTGGCGACTGCGCCCGCCCCACTCTGAGCTCCTCCGCGACCTTCAGGAACCTCCTCCTCCTTCATCTCCTCCTCCTCCTCCTCCTCCTCCTCCTCCTCCTCCTCCTCCTCCTCCTCCTCCTACTCCTCCTCCTCCTCCGTCCTCTGCCCTCATCCTCCTCATCCTCCTCCTTCTCCTCCCATCCCCTCCCTCCCCCCTCCTCCACCTCCTCCTCCTCCTCATCATCCCCATCTCTTCTTCCCCCCCACTCGCCCAGGGCGCCGAACCTCTCCGCATCCCTGCAGCCCGCGCCGCCCCGAGCCTGGCGGCTCCTACGTTCGCTCCTGAGGTGGCTGCCGCGGCCCTGTGGCTGCGCGCGCGCGGGGGCCGATGCGGCTGCGGAGAAGGGCGGGCCGCCCAGGTGCAGACAGGGCAGGAGCGGTCAGCATCCCATCGGGCAGTCGCATCGGATCGGAATGCGTGCTGGACCGGGCCGCACCAGGGCACGGAGTTGGAATCGAGTCGGATCGGCCGCACCAAGATGGGCGGCAACGCACGTGCAAAAACGTCGGGCCGCAGCGGGCCGCATCGGCATGCCCGGTTCGGATGGGCTCGAGCCGGCCATAATCGGTATCGAATCGGATGGATCGGATCGGAATGAACCCTGGACGCGAATACGGCAAGATCGTGCGACAACGAAAGTCGAGAGAGGAGCAGAATTAGTGTTGGAAGTCGGCCAGGCTTGCATCTCGAACCACTCTGGGCGAATGAAGGGGGGGGGGAGGGGGAGTGGATGGAGGGGGCGACAAGGAAGAGGGGGTTCGCGTCCCTCCCCTCACTCTCTCGCACCGCTCTTCACCATTTCCTCTTCACGTTCCCACTTACCTGAGCTGCGTTTCAGGACATACTTCGGCACCCCATCCCGCTGCCAACAGGGTGACCCCAACACTCCCCGTCTGAACAAACGAGCAGCGGGAGTAGAGGTGGAAGGAAAGAGGGAGGGAGAGAGGACGGAGGAAGAAAAAGGATAATAACGAAGGGAGGAGGGGGAGGAGTGAGAGACGGAGTGAGCACGAATCTGGGCGTCGTTAGATTGGGCAAGACGGGTGGAGCGAGGGAAGAGGAAAAAATAATGAAGGAGGAACAGGAGTGGCGGTAGGACGGGAAGGAGACGCAACAAGAGCAGGCACTACAGAAGGACCAGGAGGAGCAAGAGGAGTGCAGGAGGAGCAGGACCAAGACCAGGAGGACCAGGAGGACCAGGGGAAGACCGATGTGGAACGTGGCACATCTACCACCATTGAGGATAGCAAGCTCGCCTTCCAGAATACCCGCTCCACCTCTTCAAGGGACTCGGCTAGAGAGAGAGAGAGTGGGAGTGGCCAGGAGGTCCAGAGCAAGAGGAAGTGAATATGACGGGAGCGAGGGGAAAAGGAGAGGCGAGGGGAGAGGACGCGAAGGGGACAGGGAAGGCTGATGGGTGGATGCAGGGAGAGAACGAGAGAGGTAGAGAGAGAGAGAGAGAGAGAGATACCAGCCAAAACACGAAATATCCATACATGGAAGAGAGAGAGAGAGAGAGAGAGAGGAAACCAATAACCGAAAAAACGTGTTAGTAAACGGATAAGGAGCTGGCCGACTGGTTTGAAGTGGAGGGCAAGCAGAAGGGGGCGGGGAGGGAGTGGAGAGAAAAAGAGATGCGGATTCCAACCTGCTCCTTCCCCCCTCTGGGTAGATGCTCATCCCATGGCCTACCCTCCACTGGGTCCAGAGGGGGGCTCTGCGAATCGCTCGAGCCCAAGAGGGCCCCAGATAACACAACATGGCCTCCAACATCGCACAAGTTAGCCCAGTATGGCTAGACATAGCCTCAACAATTCCTCGAACAGGCTAACAGACCGCCCCTGGACGACCTCACGAGGACGCCCCCCGAGAGGGCAACACCTGGGCCTGCCATCGAACGCGGTTCCGGATGGACCGACGAGGCAAGGATGCACGGGCGCCCTGGGGACAGGCTACCCATCCTGATCAGAGGCGCCCTTGGGAAAGGCTACCCTTGGGAAAGGCTACCCTTGGGAAGGGCACCCTTGGAAAGGCACCCTTGGGAAAGGCTGCCCTTGGGAAGGGCCACCCCTGGGACAAGGCACCCTCGTGTTGGCTCCTTGGGAAGCAAGGCGGGCGTGGCCCGCCGGCGCTCCCCGGCGCGCGGGCGGGCCTTGTCCTTGCCCAGCTTGTCCTCCAGGAAGTGGGACGCCTCCTTCTTGAGCGAGGCGTCCGCCTCGCGGGGAGCGCGCGGGCAGCGGGGCCCGCCCGCGGGGGCGGCGCGGGAGGGGAGGGGGAGGGGGGGCGGTCTCCCGTGGACTCGCGACGGCTTCCGAGCGAGGATCCCAGGATCGAGCTCGAGGGGGACTCGTTTCCCTCCGGAGGCAGTGGGCTGTAACGCTGGAGGCCTCCCGGATGGGGGTCGGAGCATCTGTGGTCGGAGGATCGCGCCGCCTCGCGAATACATCGCCGTTGCATCGGCGACGCATTCGCGGCACATCGGCGGTACATCAGCGACGTTGGCGATGCATCGACGCCGTCGGCGTCGAGAAAACCGGGCTCCACATCGAGCCGCATCGCCGATGCATCGGCGATGCGGCGCGATCCTCTGACCACATCTACCTCGACCTTTCCTGGGATGCCTAGAATACGAGGCCACATGCAAACACTCCCCACAATTTCTAAGGAAGGGTTCACGTCGCTCGAGAGGTCCCGAACGAAGTGAACCCCGCCTGCCTCCTTAGAAATCGTAGGGTGGTGGAGTAGGGTTCGCATGTGGCCTCCTATCGGATCCCAGGATCGAGATTGTGATGCGTTTGGTGTCCTCTCCAGGTTGTGGACTGCAAAACTGTGGAGTGTGCCTGGGCCTCCGGGAGCCGCGCTCGAGGGTCACGGCTGGGTTCCCCTCGAACTCCCCGCCAGGCCGCCCCCCGGAGAGGTCCGGGGATAGGCTGCCGACCCCTGCCGCAGAAGGGTGGAGTGGAGGAGGAGGAGGAGAGTGAGCATGGGAGGAGGAGAAAGGGAGGAGAGAGGATGAGAGAGGAGGAGGAGGAGGAGGAGGAGGAGGAGGAGGAGGAGGAGGAGGAGGAGGAGAGGAGGAGGAGGAGGAGGAGGAGGAGGAGGAGGAGGAGGAGGAGGAGGAGGAGGAGGAGGAGGAGGAGGAGGAGAGTGAGTGAGTGAGTGAGTGAGGGAGGAGAGAGAGGGATGAGGAGAGGTGAGGAATGGAGGAGGGGAGGAGGAGAGAGGGAGGAGACCCTGGGGTGGGGTGGGGGGAAGGAGGAGAGAGGAGAGAGGGCTGGGGGAGGGAGGGGAGAAGGGGAACGGAGCACAAAGGGGAAAATGGGGATGGAAGAAAGGGGTGTCGGATACGAGAGGGGGGGAGCGAAGGAGGAAAGGGACGGGATGGGAGGAGGGAGAAGAAAGGACTGAGTGGGGAGAGGATGGGAGAGGCGAGGGAGGATTGCTGAAGGCCGACGATGAAGCGGAAAGGGATGGCACAGAAGAGAAGTGCGGTGGCGAGTGCGGGACGAGGGGAAAATATGATCATGCATGAGGCACGGAGGGAGACTGGATGGTGTCGGACAGAGGGAGGAACGAGAGGGCTATATAGTGATCAGCTCAAGATGAGGGGTGAAGAAATAAGAGATGAGAGAAACCACAATGGGGGCGGCCGAGGGCACCGATGATGGATGAGGGATGAGGGATGGCGGGGAGGGGGAAGTGGGGGATGGGCGCGACGAGGCGAGGGAGAACGGAGGGTCAAGGAGAAGGAGGAGTGGTAGGTAGGAGGGCTAGGAAAGGAGACGACGAGATGGAGAAGCGGCAGCAATAGCATGGGAGCAACAGCGTCACGAGCACGAGATGCCCGCGGACGAGGGCCATCAGCAGCAGCTGATCGCGGGAGGAAGAGCAGCTGCAAGAGGGGTAGGAACAGGAGAACAAGAGGGGTAGGGCGAGGAGGAGGATGAGGGACAAGGAGAAGAAGGACGACGAGGTGTAGCAACCAGAGGAAGAAAGACGGGAGAATGAGGAGGAATCATATTTTTTTGAAGACGCCGTGAACGCAGTGAAACAATGCGACAGACAAGACTCTCACGGCATCCCCGTCTTCATGGGTAGGGCTAAAAACTCTGTCATGCCCACAGGTGGACGACCCGGGAGAGCAACGGCAGCAGGAGGCAAAGGAGGGAACGACACCCGGGACCGGGACGAACCCAGAGCCGGGGGAGGGAGGAGAGCGAGCGACAGGGGACGACGGCCGCGAGGAGGGGAGGAGGACGAAGACCCGGCGACAGCCCAGGGGACGAGCAGGAGACCCTGAGGGTGGCTGTCTTCAGATTTCTGATGTTGCTGTGGCATCATTAAAGTATGAAGTCATGCCAGGCTCAAGATCTACAACATTTCAGCACGATGGCAATCGCGCGGGCGTTTCACGTCGAGCGTCTGCGCCGAATCTTAAAGGCGCGGCGGCCCTCGCAGGTCGCTTGGCACGCCACAAATGCTGCGCGAAAAGTGCAACGTTTCGTTGGCGTCTTGCGGAAAAGACGATGAAGTTCTTGATGATTCGCGTATTCCCACCAGCCCGCACGGAGATCGTTTCCCACCAACACGCGGTTGTCTCGACACGACCTCGACTGGGAACGCACTGCGCGCCATTTTGGCCGCGCCTGGCTTGCTCCTGGGCGACTGACCCTCAGACTCCCTGGGTTGCAGCTTGCACGACCGCCTCAGGTGACTGACCCCTCAGACTCCCTGGGCTTGCACGACCGCCTGGCCTCTCAGACGCCCTGGGTTGCCGCCCCCCTCGCCGCCTGATCCGCGGCTCCCGCGCGCGCCCGGGAATTTAGTCGCGGCCGCAGCCCGACCGTGACTGCTCGCCGCCGGCGCTTCCGCCTGCGGCTGTAAAAAAAAAAGTATTCCCACCAGCCCATCCAGAAACGATCGGCAAGCTACGGGGGGAGAGAGGAAGAGGCACGCGTAGTCGGCCCATTCAGAAGCTTTGGGACGTCTGAGTGGGCTGGCCATCTCCAGCCGTTTTGGAACGGTCTTGGGGCTTCTTGGAGCAGTTTGGGAGCCTCTTGGGCGGTCTTGGAGCGTCCGGTCGCCGAAAAGGCGAGAACCCCCAAAACCTTCAAAAACCATTGAGAAATCAATGAATCTTGCCTCTTGGGGCCCCTGGGACGACTCTTGGAGGCTTTTGGCGCGTTTTGGATGCCATTTAAACCGTCTTGGGACCATCGTGGGCGTCTTGGAGCGATCTTTAGGCGTCTCGGGGCCATCTTGGACCATCTTGGGCGCCTCCTTGGCCCGTCTCCAAGCTGTCCTGGTCCGTTTTGGGACCGTCTGGGAGCCCCTG